TTTAGTTCCTCCACTCTCTGGGTAGGTCATTATTTCACATTTAGTTCCTCCACTCTCTGGGTAGGTCATTATTTCACATTTAGTTCCTCCACTCTCTGGGTAGGTCATTATTTCACGTTTAGTTCCTGCACTCTCTGGGTAGGTCATTATTTCACGTTTAGTTCCTCCACTCTCTGGGTAGGTCATTATTTCACATTTAGTTCCTGCACTCTCTGGGAAGGTCATTATTTCACATTTAGTTCCTCCACTCTCTGGGTAGGTTATTATTTCACATTTAATTCCTCCACTCTCTGGGTAGGTCATTATTTCACATTTAGTTCCTCTACTCTCTGGGTAGGTTATTATTTCACATTTAATTCCTCCACTCTCTGGGTAGGTTATTATTTCACATTTAATTCCTCCACTCTCTGGGTAGGTTATTATTTCACATTTAATTCCTCCACTCTCTGGGTAGGTTATTATTTCACATTTAGTTCCTCCACTCTCTGGGTAGGTTATTATTTCACATTTAACGTTGCAGTATCCAAATTGGGACACTTTTTAGTGAAATATTGATGTATTTCATACCATAGTACCGATCCCAGTAATTTTTGTTCACTTTTCCTAAAAAGATATCATTATCTTTTCATTTTGATAACAAGTTGATATTTACGGCGCATGGTTCTATAAATAAACCCGGAAATATAGTCATTGTGACGTAATCGCGAAACAGGTATAGCTTACATTTGGAGATGAAAAAAGTATTAAGCACAACATGGCATATCTTTGGAATATTTAAGAGTCAAGGGTCGTTCTGAATGAATTTCTTTTCCAAACTTTCATTAGTTGTGAAATAGTAGGATTGTGAAAAATTGAAAATCAATAATGTAGCATTGCGCATCAATTTAGAACGTTACATTTTCGTCATTATTTACAAACCAAAACTGTGATTGTAACCATAAGTGGCAGTAAATAAAGTTCCTATAATGTTTTATTGGTATATTAGCATCTTTAAATCAATATTTTTAATTTGAAAATACTTATTTGCACAGCATGCATTGCAATTTTCCCGTTACTTTTTCCTTCAAGTGTCCAGATTTGGGTACTGTGACGGTAGTTCCTCCACTCTCTGAGTAGGTTATTATGCCTTCGAATGAAGGGTTACCTATTGTATTAGTACTGGTTCGTTTTGTTCTGGTTCTTCTAATATGATCTTGTCAGGGCCGTAACTTTTAAACTGTTAAAGATATTTGATAAAACTTGAAGTATACTTGCATCACCCTCAGACGATGTGCAGTGCATTGTGAACTTGACCTCGTGGTCAAACGTCAAACATGTGCAATTTTTTTCGGGAATATCTTGTCTGGGCCGTAACTTTTAAACTGTTAAAGGGGAGATATACGTTTTTGTTCACAAAAACACATCTCTAGTTTTTAGGCCACCTGAGCTTTGCAATTTTTACAATTTTGACTTCTCAAGAACCAGTAGATGGAATTTTTTCAAACTTGGTCAGAATCATCCTTGGTAGATGAGGCCACAAAATTATAAAATTGGGATACCTACCCCAACTCCAGGGGGCAGGGGCAGGGGCCAGGGCAGGGCTCCAAAGGTAAAATCAACCAATATTGCAAAAATCTTTCTCTTCAGACTCAGATGTAGTACAATCAAATTCTGTGCATGGATGAAAATTCCGTCAGGGGCTTTAAATATTTTTTTGATTTAATTATCCCCGGGCTATCCATTCTCGCTTGGGGAGGGGATAAAAATGGCTTTAGTTTTGTAGGGAAATAACACTTTTGGGTATATTTTGTCCATTTTCAGCAGGAAATTATTCAAACTTGGTTGGAATGATTATGATGCCAGATGGCAATTAGATGGTATGAGATAAAAAGATCCTGCCCCAACCACAGGGGCTGGAGGGGTGGGGCCCAAATGGGGATAATAGTTAAAAGTTAAAAAGAAATCTTCTTCATCAGACTCAGATGTTTTACTCCTGTTCATGGATAGAAAGGTCTGTATAAAAAATTTACCAATACCTAAATTGTAAACTTCATTGTCCCCCCAGGTCATCTGCTCTCCCTTGGGGAAAGGGTATATTTCTCCATAACAAAATAATTCATTTGAATAGTTTTTAAAGTTCTTATCCTTTGGTGAAATGACAAGTATTGTATTTTACTTTGTTTGCATGTTGTTTTCCACATTTTGTACATTTCAACAATGAAATTGAGCTACCAGTACCTATGATATAACTGAGGTGACCGCTAAGGCCCTTGGGCCTCTTGTATATTGAATTCCTCCGTCCTCTGGATGGGTTAATTCAAAGTGCATTCCTTCACTCTATGGGCAGGTTGTTATGCTCCCTGAAAGAACATTTGGGGAGCATTTACTCGGTACTCGCCGCTTTGTTTGTCTGTTAGTCCGTATGAACATATGTCTGGGCCATAACTTCTGACCCTCTGGAGATAGCTCAATGATAATTTAGGGATTTTGAAGAATGGCAAGGTGATGTGTCACATACAACTAACTATTGGTTAGGTACACCTAAGGTCAAGGTCACATTGAGTTCAAAGGTCAAATTTGTTTTCCGGACCATAACACAGAGCCTAAAATGGAAACACATTTCCAGTATCACTTCAGATCAACATATTTTGTAATGTTTGCTTTGATCTTCAGATTAATCTTCAGATGAAAGATACAGACCTTCTAGGCCTCTTGTCATATTTTGATAAAAAAAAAAATGATTAAGAATCTAAACCTAAATTTCATTAAATATTTTAAAAATTAACTGTTTTATACTGCTTTATATGTATACACTTTGTATGGTTGTAGATCTATTTGGACTTAGTGATCATGACCTGATGTTTAACAAGGCAAGTGAGTCTATGGATGACAAGCCAGAGGACCAGGAGGAACCAGTGTCTAAAGCTCATCTTGGAGGGGACGACTACATAGAACACAGGGTAAGGGGGGCAACTACATAGAACACAGGGTAAGGGGGGCGACTACATAGAACACAGGGTAAGGGGAAGGACTACATAGAACACAGGGTAAGGGGGAGGTCTACATAGAACACAGGGTAAGGGAGATGACTACATAGAACACAGGGTAAGGGGGAGGTCTACATAGAACACAGGGTAAGGGGGAGTACTACATAGAACACGGGGTAGGGGGGAGGACTACATAGAACACAGGGTAAGGGGGGACTACATAGAACACAGGGAAAGGGGGAGGACTACACAGAACACGGGGAAGGGGGGAGGACTACATAGAACACAGGGTAAGGGGAGTACTACATAGAACACAGGGTAAGGGGGGAGGTCTACATAGAACACAGGGTAAGGGAGAGGACTACATAGAACACAGGGTAAGGGGGGAGGTCTACATAGAACACAGGGAAAGGGGGAGGACTACATAGAACACAGGGTAAGGGAGAGGACTACATAGAACACAGGGTAAGGGGGGAGGTCTACATAGAACACAGGGTAAGGGAGAGGACTACATAGAACACAGGGTAAGGGGGGAGGTCTACATAGAACACAGGGTAAGGGAGAGGACTACATAGAACACAGGGTAAGGGGGGAGGTCTACATAGAACACAGGGAAAGGGGGAGGACTACATAGAACACAGGGTAAGGGGGGACTACATAGAACACAGGGAAAGGGGGAGGACTACATAGAACACAGGGTAAGGGAGAGGACTACATAGAACACAGGGTAAGGGGGGAGGTCTACATAGAACACAGGGTAAGGGAGAGGACTACATAGAACACAGGGTAAGGGGGGAGGTCTACATAGAACACAGGGAAAGGGGGAGGACTACACAGAACACGGGGAAGGGGGGAGGACTACATAGAACACAGGGTAAGGGGGGACTACATAGAACACAGGGAAAGGGGGAGGACTACATAGAACACAGGGTAAGGGGGAGTACATAGAACACAGGGTAAGGGGGGGACTACATAGAACACAGGGTAAGGGGGAGGACCACATAGAATACAGGGTAAGGGGGAGTACTACATAGAACACAGGGTACGGGGGAGGACTACATAGAACACAGGGGAAGGGGGAGGACTACATAGAACACAGGGTAAGGGAGAGGACTACATAGAACACAGGGTAAGGGGGGAGGTCTACATAGAACACAGGGAAAGGGGGAGGACTACACAGAACACGGGGAAGGGGGGAGGACTACATAGAACACAGGGTAAGGGGGAGTACTACATAGAACACGGGGTAGGGGGGAGGACTACATAGAACACAGGGTACGGGGGAGGGCTACATAGAACACAGGGTAAGGGGGAGTACTACATAGAACACGGGGTAGGGGGGAGGACTACATAGAACACAGGGTACGGGGGAGGGCTACATAGAACACAGGGTAAGGGGGAGTACTACATAGAACACAGGGTAAGGGGGGGGACTACATAGAACACCGGGTAAGGGGGAGGACTACATGCACCCCTAATAATGGGGAGTGAGGGGAGGTACGAATTATATGATTTGTACATTCTGTTTCTGAAATGATCCATAACATGCATTGTAGAATTATACATGCATTAGTATTTTCTTCCTACTTCCTTAGGTTCAGAAAGCACAACAATTACTGCGAATGGAGTCGGAGCTTGGAGAGGGATCAACTCTTGAGGAACGTTTCTCGAAGTATCCCAGACCAGCAACAAACAGAGAACTGCCCCAGTTCAACTTTGGACCCAGTGAGAGACCATCCTTTCCATTCCCAGGGGAGGCGGAACCTGAGAGAAAATGTAGGTGAAGGATTTGGGGAAAATTTTACATTTACAATATAATGTATAATTCTTTTTAGGTCACCTGAGGTTTGCTCAAGTGACCTATTCTGATCGCATTTCGTCCGCCGTCCGTAAACATTTTACATTTTCGACTTCTTCTCAAGAACCAGAAGATCAATTTTTTTCAAACTTGGTCAGAATCATCCTTGGTAAATGAGGCTACAAAATTGTAAAATTGGGATTCCTACCCAACCCCAGGGGCCAGGGCGGGGCCCCAAAGGGAAAATTAATCAATATTTCAAAAAGCTTCTTCTCCAGACTCAGAGGTACTACAGTCAATTTCTCTGCATGGATGGAACGATCATAAAAGGCTTTATGTAAATTGTAAATTTCAGTACCCCTGGGCTATCCATTCTCCCTTGGGGAGGGGGGGTCAATTTTACTACAGTTTATATAGGGAAATTACACTTTTGGGTATATTTTTTGTCAATTTTCAGTACGAAATTATACTTAACTGGTGAGAATAATCCTTGGGGGAAGATGGTATCAAATTGTAAAACTGGGATTCCTGCCCCAAACCCAGGGGCCAGGGCAGGGCCCCAAAGGGAAAATTAACCAATATTTCAAAAATCTTCTCCAGACTCAGAGGTACTACAGTCAATTTCCCTGCCTGGATGGAAAGATCATCAGGGGCTTTATGTAAATTGTAAATTTCTGTACCCCTGTCCTATCCGTTCTCCCTTGGGGAGGGAGTCAAGTTTATATAGGGAAATAACACTTTTGGGTATATTTTGTCATTTTTTAGCTGGAAATTATTAAAACTTGGTTAGAATGATTATGTTGCCAGATGGCAATTAGATGGTATGAGAAAATCAGATCCTGCCCCATCCCCAGGGGCTGGAGGGGTGGGGCCCGAATAGGGTAAATTGTTAAAAAAATCAAAAATCTTCTTCATCAGACTCAGATGTGTTACAAACAAATACTCTTCATGGATAGAAAGGCCCTTAGGTGCATTATCGATTTGAATAAAATAAGATCTGTCCTTGCCCCAGGGGCTTGAGGGGTGGGGCCAAAAAGGGGAAAATGACTGATACATGTTTTAAAAAAAACTCTGCACTCAGATGGTAGAAGATTCAAATTTTCTTTTTTTGGATGGGAATGCCCTTAGGTGCATTTTATAAACTGTTAGTTATATTACCCTTTGGTGATCTTCTCTTTGGTTTATAAAGGGAAATAACACCTCTGACTTATATCTTGTCCATTTTCAGCAAGAAATAATTCAAACTTGGTTGAAATAGTTGTAATGAAATTGAAATCAAATAGTATCAGAAACTAAGATCCTGTCCTATCCCAGGGGTTGGCTAGAGAGGAAAATTGGCTAAATAACAATATATAAATATGACTTTCTTTTTATGGACAGTGAATATTGTCACCCGAGGCGAATTACTATCCTCGCCTAGAAACTCTCTGAATACCCGGCAGCTTCCTTTAACCACCCTCTAATGTCCTGCAGGTAGGGCGTAAGAATTGTACCTGCTGCCCCCAATTGCATGATCGTAAGAGGCGACTAAATTTGGGACCTTATCTCTTCTCTCCTTTCTAAATAACTTTCTTCTTCCTAATGTCTCCCTTGACAATGCCTCACTTTTGGCCATTTGTTGAGCGTTCGCCCCTGTGAGGAAGGCTTTGGGTTCTGTCCCCTGGCCGAGACATACCAAAGTCTTTAAAAATGGTAGTTTCTACTCCTGCTTAACGCTCAGCAAATTAGGAGTGGGACGACTGGTTCGCCCGTTGTCAGTATAATGTGACCGGGTGGGGCGTCCTGCTGGGTGTCTTCGGCAGTATGTTTCAGTGAGGTAGCACTATAAAGTCGGCATCAGTTCCGCGCTATCACAAGGAGACAAACACGAACATATCGCAGCCTCCCAAAATACACACACATACACTACACGCATGCATCTTGCACACAGGGGAGGCCGTCCTTAAATGACCTTAGCTGTTAATAGGACGTTAAACAAAATCAAACAAACAAACAAACAATTTAACCACCCTCTAAGTGTTTTTTGAGTCCTTGGAGGAAAGAATCCCCTCCATATGTAGCTCAGAAACGGCAGTAAACCTTGATAATGACATCTTGTTTGTTGATAGTCTGCTGTTTACAATTGCTATCGCACCGGCGCTTGATAAAATTGGCTGTTGCCGTCAAACGTTCTTGTGACCATCACGGTGGAGAAACGAAGTGGTGAAAAATGGCCACTGTGAAGAACCCGGAACGCACATTTTTCGCGCATGTGATATTTTTCTCTGTCTCATGGCAATATCACCCGCGCCCCTTAAAACCAATGTATTTTCGGAGGGTGACTGAGATTTTTGTTTAATTTTCTCCCAACCAATCAAATAGCTAGAAGTAACAATAGATATTATATGTCTCAATAGAAAAATAATGTATTTTAATAGTTTTTAGAGTTTACATGTTGATTTCCACATCACATCTCAATAATGAAATTGAGCTACCAGTTAGCAGTACGTATGATATAACTCAGGTGACTGCTAAGGCCCTTGGGCCTTTTGTTTATTTTGCGTTCTATAATGCTGACTCGAATCAGGTTGTCTGTCTTTGTTTGTCTATGGACACAGGCCTGAGGGCTGTTTGCACTACTCTTACCAAAGTCCTGTATCGATTCAAATGATGTTTAGCACTAAGAACCCTTACATTGAGTGGATGCAAATAAGGTATCTAAATACAAGGCAAATACCTCCATATTTATGGAGATATGCCCCTTTCTTTTAAAACCTTGTTCACATTACTTCTTCTAACCATTTGCACTGATTTAAATGGAACTAGGTTCAGATAAAAAAATATATAGATTTGAGTTACCTCCCCCTTTTTATGGAATTGTACCCCCTTGTTTGAAAATGTTGTTTACACTGCTCCTAATGTACTGCACCGATATGAATGATACTTGTTACATAGAACTCGTACATCACTTTTATGGTTTACTTTTAAACGTGATGCACTGATTTGAAAGATGTTTTTGGTACTCAGGCTGTCACAATATATCGTACAATACCACAATACAGAGATGAAATATAGCTGTATAGCAATATTTTTCAAAAGTATATTTTTATGTATCTCATTCTGCTTGGTGTTTTAACTTTGCAAATTACTACAAATTCTAACAGATATGCCAATAAGCATAAAGCAGGCTTTTAGTATAGTTCATATTTTCTAATCGATGGTTGGTTTGACAAAAATCTTAAATCTATGTAATCCATATTATATATGATTAAGTTTGATAACATTCTGACAACAACTTATAATAAAATTGAGCACATCCTTCCTATGACAATATATCGGGATACGTATTGCAATATATTCATTCTGTATTGCAATATATCGTTACATGCTCTTGGCATATTGTGACACCCCTATTTGGTACACATGCATTACACTTAAATTAAGGGGATACGAGTAAATTATATAAATTGAAGCTACTTCCTTTTGTTAAGGAGTTATGCCCCTTTGCTTGAAAGCATTGTTCCCACTGCCAATTCCAGAGGATTCACTCATTTTAAATGATATCTAATGCACTGAACCCATACTTTGAGGGCATGTGAGTCAGGTAATATAAAAATGGAGTTACCTCCCCTAACTTTGATGTTAGGCCTCTTTTAACCCTTTCACCACTGTAGACCATAATGGATTCATCCAGATCAATGCATGGTAGAGTCTACTGAAGTTACATAGGGATGAAAGGGTTAATAAAATGTCGTTCACACTACTCCTCCAAAAGAACTGTTCTGTAATGTTCCAGGGATAAAGCCTGACAGACCTGCAAATGATAATGCGGGCCTTGAAGGTCTTTACCAAATCTCACCAGAAAAAGTATCTGTATCACAGACTAAAGATTCCGTCATGTTTCAGATAAAGTGGAGCCTGAAAGTGTTGATTTGACAACGATGGAGTCACCTGACCATTCAGGTGGTAGCGGTGGTGATAGTGACGACCCTATTGTCTTGGACACCTCTGCAGATGACCTTGAGGTCAAGGACATAGAAGAGAAGATTGCAGACATGTCTATTCAGGTAATACACTCGGAAACTATTCCTATCTATATATCACCAAGTTATATACCTCTAGTAAAAATCTCTTATCTGTAGCCCTCTAGTATATATCCCTTAGCAATAGTCCCTTAGTATACTGTAGACATACTTAATTTAGCGCTCTATCAAATTTTTACAGATTAGTGCATTGATGAATAGGCGCATTCACAAAATATGCAGTATAAAACAATATTCAAGGACACCATATGGCACAGTTATAGTAAAGTGCCATATTTAAAGCATGAAAAGCGCTAAAATCTGACTACCGCTAATAAGAAATCATCCTCGATACTCCAGGGCCTGTATTAATGAAACCGTTCTCATGCTCAAGCATGGATTTTGTGCTCAAACCAACTTTCTTGTAACTCACTTAAATCATGTTAAACGATCAAAAAGTAAAATGTAAACATTGAAAACAGTATTTGGCTTTTAGTCTCTTCAAATGTTTTTCAAAATCATTGACAAAATAAGATTTTACATAATTTATAAACGGTACAAGAAATTAGGCTTGATAAAAAAAATCCATGCTTCAGTAAGCATGGGGCCAGGGGTTACGCTCACTTTCGCTGTCTCCACCACTGGAAGTCATGGCAAAATTGAAGGCAAACGGCTAACTATTTGATTAGTTTCAGGTAACCTGACCAATCACTAAACTGATATATATATACCTGTCCTTTGAAAATTACAATTGAATGACACCCGACTTCAAGTCCAGTAAATTTTACTGTGACCGTGAGATTCTTTTGATGTACATCAAAGGATCAAACTAGTCTTCTTGTCTCATCCACAACATGGTGCACACTAAGCTTTAAATTTTGCTATGATATATTCCAGGGGGTGCAGAGAGCGAAAGTGAGCGAAACCCCTTGAGTATCGGGGATAGTTTCGTTTGGTTTAATTTTGTTCAATGTCCTATTGACAGCTAAGGTCATTTAAGGTTGGCCTGCATATGTGTAGTGCATGCATGCTTGCATATGTGTATGCAGGAGACGGGGTATGTTGGGGTGCTTGCCTCCCGGTGATAACACATATCTGATGCAGACTTTATAGTGCTATCTCACTGAAATGCCAGGCCGAAGGCACCCAGGTCAGCATTCCGCCCGGTCACATTTTCTGACAACAGATTAACCAGCTGTTGCCTTTCCCCTAAAAGCTGAAAGTTAAGCAGGAAATAACAACTACCATTTCTAAGGACTTTGGTATGTCCAGGCCTTGGGACAGAACCCATTGCCTTCCTCATCTGGGCGAACGCTCAACATTCAGGCCAAAAGTGAAGTGTTGCCAAGCAAGGCGATTGGAAATAAAAGAAAGTTAGAAGTAGAGAGAAAAATAAAGATCCCAAATATTGCAATGGGCGCAGCAGGTTAATTTTGGTCGCTCTTGTGTACCCAAATAGAGGAAACCAAAGCAAATCCCCAATTCTGCAGGGGGGGTCCCACATTAGTCGCCTCCAATGATACATGTAGTAGGTAACAGCAGGTGTATTCTTTTCCCGATCCCACACCTGCTGGGGTGATCGAGGATGGTAAAATATGTACGTTTACAGTATATCAATACACTATAGTCCTACTGGTATTTTTTCCATTTCTTAAAGAGAATAATGATGATCATCAAATAATAGTTGCAACGAAAACTGATTAACCATGTCATGTGTTTGTAGATAACCGAGCCCCCGGAGGAGAAACATGACGTGGTAGAAATTGATTCTGATGTTGAAGAATTGCCGGCACCTCGAGATGAAAACGACTCAGATATAGAAGAGTTATTAGAATTTCCAAACAGAAATGAGGACAACTTCATACCTGTTAAACAGGAGACTGATACTGTGCAAAATATAAAACAGGAAACTGACACTCCACATAGTATAAAACAGGAAACTGTCCAGTTAGAAAGGCTAGAGAGCTCTCCAAACAAGGGAGAAGACTGTGATAATGAAATGGAAGAGGAGGATTACCCAACAAGTAAATCACCAGCAAAGAACTTCTCAAGTTTAATGGACAATTCTATGACACATACACCTGATAAAACTTCTTTTGCCACCTGTGAAACAATAGAGACGAACACTCCAAACAGCCAAGGTACTAGGACTCCTGGTAGCTCGACAAAGAAAACTCCTGTAACCATGGCGATGACAACACCGAAGGGGCGTAGTAACAAGAGGAAAAGTGTCTCCCACAGTCCCTGGTTGTCACGGACACCAAAGTCTGGTAAATACAGCCCAGTCCTCAATGAGGAGATATTTATATCACCCGACGCATCTCGCCCCATCGTAAAGGTGGAACCAAAACCCATGTCATCGTTATTTCGGAATGTGTCGGACGCCAACACACCCAAGGTGCGTAAACCCCTATCCTTGAACACCACCATCTTTTCAGCCTTCTCCACGGACAGTCCTGATGTACAGAACGAATCTTCCAGCTCCAGCTCATCTCGTTCCTCTGAGCTAGGTAAGGGAGAGATGGATGACCTCCACATGACCTTTGTTGGAGATTCACCTAACACTCAGAAAGCCATAAAGCGAGATCTGTACACCACAGTTGTGGTGAATTCCAGCGAGGATGAAGATGAGGCGTCTGGGAATGACACACCAAGTGTAATAGACTCTGTAGGAAAATCCTCACGCCTAGGTCGGGCAGCCGTAGTGGCTGAATCGGATGAGGACAGCTCTCCTCTCAAAGGAAGAGACTGTCCTGAAGCAATGTCTGAGGATGAGGCTTTGGAAACAGCGAGTGGTAATACGTCAATGGGCAGCACATCTGGTGATAGATCTGATCTCAATATGTCTACAGACAGTCCTTTACCAACCATTAGGAGGCAAAATAAGGTGAGGAAAGCAGTGATAGAAAGTTCTGACGAGGAAGGGAGTCATGATGGCTCTGGAGAAAGTGATAATCACTCCAGAATGTCGTCAAAGAAAAGTGCATCAGTAAATTCGGAGGACGAAACGTCTCCCCAACAGAAAAATTCTAGAAAAAATGTGATTGAAAGTTCAGATGAAAATGAAAGCTATCAGGATTTCAGAAATGAAAACTTCTCTGATGAAAAACAGACCTCAAGAAAACATTTAAAGAAAAATATTGAAGGCAGCTCAGCGGAGGAAACCTCTGATGAGGAAGATACAAACACACGACAAAAATCTGCCAAAAGATATGACGACGAAGAAACAGACGACAGTGAAGAAGAGGACTCGGCCATGAGCAGTTTTATCAATGATGAAGAAGATGAAAGTGGGGAGGAAAGTGATGACAGTGAGGAGGGAGAGACAAGTGAAGAGGAACAGGAGGCCAGGACCACAAAAAGAGGTCCTCAAAAGTCGGGTAAGAATTATACCTTTTGTTGGGTTAGGAGTTTGATCAGTTATAAAGCCAGACATTGGATTAGATATTAAGTCAGGAATTAGATAAGGCAGGTTGATTAGCTGGGAGTTTAGTGGTTGGATTAGACAGGTCAATCGCAGGAAGGTTAGTGGTTAGATTAGGCAGAATACAAGATTTGGATTCAGCGGCAGTTCAAATGGTGATATTAAATTGAAAGTCAAAAATGAATTAGATTATGTCAAGGTTTGGATCAAAGAAGACGTCAAGAGTTGTATTACTCAGGGTCGAATAGGCCAAAACAGCATTTTGAAAATGCTAAGGGTAAAATTTGGCAGGTCGATAGTTGAATTAAACAAAAGGTTGGATTTAGCGGAAGGTCAAGGGTTGGATTCGGCAGGTCGAGAGTTGAATTAAACAAAAGGTCAAGGGTTGGCTTAGGCAGAAGTTCAAAGGTTGGATTCAGCAGAAGGTCAAGGGTTGGATTCGACAGGTCAGAGGCAGAATTAGACAAAAGGTCGAGGGTTGAATTTAAGCAGAAGATCAAAAGTGGAATAAGACAGAATAATAAGGGTTGGATCAGCAAGAAGGTCAATGGTTTGATTACACAGGTCTGGGGATGAGTTAAACAAAATGTTAGTGATCAGATTAAACAAGACAAGTTTTGTGATTAGACAGAATATTGGGGTCAGATTCAACCATATGGTTTATTGGTAAATGACAGAAAAAATATCACTTGACCGTTGATGTCCTATTTCAGCATTTGACAGACTGTCGGAGGACATGAGGACGATGTATAAGGAGCTTGTTCAGTCTGGCAGGTGAGTGTTGTAGTAGTGATCACTCAAGTGGAAAGCATTTTTGCTTCTGTAGATCACAACATTTTAGTGTATATCTGAATCGCAAACATACCTGTATGTTCTTTTTTCATGTACCTGAATTCATGATGGAGAGGATGTTGTTTTCAATATTGATGGTAATTATGTCTCCCCCTCGATTGAAGGGAGACATATTGTATTAGTACTGGTTCTTCTTCTTCTTCTTCTTCTGGTTCTTTTTCTGATTCTTCTAATCGCAACTTGTCCGGGCCATAACTTTTAAACCGTTAAAAATATCTTGATGAAACTTTAGGTATGCATGCATTTACCACAGAAGGTGGGCAGTGCACTGGAATTAGGTCACTGTGACCTTCACCTCAAGGTCAAAGGCCAAATAAACGCAACATTTTCAGTAAAATCTTGTCCAGCCCATACATTTTAAACCGTTAAAGATATCTTGATCAAACTTGAAGTATACCTGCATCACCCACAGAAGGTGTGCAGTGCACTGAAATTAGGTCTCGTGCTGCACTGTATACAGAGTTATTGCCCTTTGTTTATTTTTAATACCGAAGTTTGTCCGGAGCATAAGTTCCAATGTTATTTCACCTACGTTGACCAAACTTACCATATTTATGTATCCTGGGAAGGCAGAATTTCTCGCACTAAAATCAGGTTTGTGCCCGAATATATACAGAGTTATGGCCCTTTGTTTATTTTTAATACCGAAGTTTGTCCACGGCATTACTTCTAAACCATTAAAGATATCTTAATCAAACTTGAAGTATGCATGCATCACCCACAGAAGGTGTGCAGTGCACTGGAACTAGGACTCGTGCCCCACTATATACAGAGTTATGGCCCTTTGTTTATTTTTTATACGGAAGTTTGTCTATTGGCTAATAAGGGGAGACATATGTTTTTGTTCACAAAAACAAAATTCTAGTTATCTGTTAAATTAATATTCGCAGAAGAGTTAAAGTCATGAATCAGTCTTCTTGTGAAATAACACAGTAATTAGTCTCTGGTTGAAATACAACTAAAATAAAGTGAATTACAAACTTTAACAGTTTATTGAACTGGTCGCTTGATATGCTTTAGATGTTCTCTGTGAATACATAGGAAGGTACAGTACTAGGGATGGGTTCCCATAAAGGTCCATTAGGGGCACACCGATTCCCAGAATAACTTGTACACACATGTAAAAAGCTAAGGATACTTTTGGATCTGATGTAGTTTTATGGGGTTTGGTTATAAGATGCAAATGAAAAATATCTTGTTTGATATTGCAATTTAATTTGTGCCATTTTTATTGGAGGTATCCCTTTTCCTACACAAGAGTTAATGGGGGTGCTTTAAGTGTGTTTGATCATGGAAATTACATGAAAATTGTAACCTGTGTTAAATGTGTTATATTCTGTTCTGTAAACTTTGTGCTACAAATAATCATATATACCTAATTCATTTAAAGTAAATGTAAAACTCACAGATTTGTTTCTAGGAAATTTGGCATGTACCGTATTTGACCGCAAATAAGCCCCCACCCCTAGTGAAAAAACATAGACCAAAAGTAGGGAGGGGGCTTAATTGCAGGCACCCACCCTGTTCCCAGGACATTTGCCAAAGTGGGGATGGGGCTTATTTGCGGTCAAATACGGTACTAAAGTATGTCATGTTGACTACGAAAAAAACAATTATCAATTTCATTCACGGTTAACATTTTGTTTTCTTTCTGTTTTAGATCACTTTTGAAATCTTGTGAATATGAAGAAGCTCTAGCTAATGTGCTCCAGGCCTTAGAGATATGTCCTGAACCCTCGACACAGGCCCTCGCTCTCACCATCCACAAGGCAATGGAGGGCTGAAGGCTGTAGCTATATAGGTAGAGCATGGATAGGCTCTGTGGGAGCAACGGTCAGATCAGTTCTATTGATAGGACAAGTGGCTACGATGGAACAAGTCAACTGTCAGTTATGTGGGTTTGACTGTCAAGCTGTGTGGATACCACAGCTGCAGTCAAGTGAACGGTTAGGTCAGTCCAAGTGGTTCTGTTGAAACTGTCAGTCACATGGATATGACTGTATAGCTGTGTGGATACGACAGTCGCAGTCAATTGAACGGTTAGGTCAGTCCAAGTGGTTCTGTTGAACCTGTCAGTCACATGGATATGACTGTATAGCTGTGTGGATACGACAGTTGCAGTCAATTTGATGACGAGGTCATTCTGTGGACTGTGGAACAATAGACGTTATCTATCTGTAAATCATAAATGCTTTTGATTGACTTCTCCTGAATGAAATATATTGGTAATACGGTAGTCGTGTTGAGTGACTTCTCCCGACTGAAATATATTGGTAATAGTCGTGTTGAGTGACTTCTCCCGACTGAAATATATTGGTAATAGTCGTGTTGAGTGACTTCTCCCGACTGAAATATATTGGTAATAGTCGTGTTGAGTGACTTCTCCCGACTGAAATATATTGGTAATAGTCGTGTTGAGTGACTTCTCCCGACTGAAATATATTGGTAATAGTCGTGTTGAGTGACTTCTCCCGACTGAAATATATTGGTAATAGTCGTGTTGAGTGACTTCTCCCGACTGAAATATATTGGTAATAGTCGTGTTGAGTGACTTCTCCCGACTGAAATATATTGGTAATAGTCGTGTTGAGTGACTTCTCTCGACTGAAATATATTGGAAATAGTCGTACTGAGTGACTTCTCCTGACTGAAATATATTGGTAATAACTTTATTGTCTTTAGTTGGTGCCGAGTGACCCCTGCTGTGAATGTATTTGCCAAAGTTGATGTTGAGCAACTACTACTGACTGAAATATATCACCTGTAGACAGTGTTAAGTGACTTTCGGTATTTTAAATGTTTCATTCATTGTCGGTTTTGAAAAATTTCTGCCGACTGTAAACGAAAAGGCCCTGACTACAAACCCCTTTGGCTGTACTGAGTACTAACATGTGGAGTGAAACACACACGTTCTGTTGTTACCAGGGTCATTACCCTATCGACACATTAAATCTATTTTTTTATGATGAACTTTTTCCTTTTTTACAAGATATGTAGAAATATGAGTATGTCTTTGTTTATTACCCTAGATTATTAATCATTTTGATTCCATGGACATCAATAACTTGTTTTAAGTTTTCATAATCATAAAAATATCACTGATTTAAAAGTTACTTCATTTTGTTTTTTAAGCTGATGAAGTTTCATAGAATTGAATGTTGTAGGCAACATTTCTACAGTGTGATCAGATCGATGGCGTTTTGAGAAAGGACAGTTTTCATACCTTGAAAGTAACAACAAAAATCTGTATGGAGTTTCCCAGGTTTTCGGATAGAATACTGTGAAATCACTAATTTTGGTGGGGTTTTAATATTGTCGATTTCATGGGTATTCTTCTTTCACACATTCGTAGGTCTACAAAGATAATTACAGGTTTTACATCAAGCTATTCTCTGTAAGAGTTGGTACTCATCTTCCACGAATTCATGTATCCACGAAATGGTGTCCTTTTTACGAAACTATGAAAATTTGGGCCGCATGAATATATCTGATTTCACAGTCAGCAGTACATTGTTGTTTATATGGTTTTGTATGCATCATTTAATGTAAGGATCTCTATTGTCATCTGGAATGACATCATGATTGATATTGATAGTACATTTTTGTGTAATGTGATGCTTTCCTGTAGAAGGAATAATTTTACATGCATATTTCACAAATTTAATAAAATACTGAGTCAGCGAATGGATCTACAAGTTTGTTTGTCATAGTTATTTCTGCAGTATATTATCATAGAAACTTAAAGTTATATGAAACCGAAACATTCGCCCCTTCAAAATCAACAAAGTCTGCTCTCCCTGAGTCACCACCACGTAATCTGTTATTATAGAATAAATGCATATAGTAATAGTTAATGAACTTCAAAAAAAACGTAACATAAATAGTTTTTTATTTCATAAATACCATAATTAAACATAAAATGGATGCTAAAACTATACTAACTTATGTGTAAGGGCTGTATAATTGAAATGTGCACTGTAGGCGCATGACCCGGCCAGCAAGGGCAGACAAGAGCCAGGGAGAGAGTACGAGAGGGGGGGCATGGATGACATACAGTGAGGGCTGCAGACCGGAGCCAGGGAGAGAGTATGAGGGGGGGGCATGGATGACATCCAGTGAGGGCTGCAGACCGGAGCCAGGGAGAGAGTATGAGAGGGGGGCATGGATGACATCCAGCAAGGGCCGCAGACCGGAGCCAGGGAGAGAGTACGAGAGGGGGGCATGGATGACATCCAGTGAGGGCCGCAGACCGGAGCCAGGGAGAGTGTACGTGAGGGGGGGGGAATGGATGACATCCAGCGAGGGCGGCAGACCGGAGCCAGGGAGAGAGTACGAGAGGGGGGCATGGATGACATGACATCTTTAATCGTTGTTTCTCGCTGTTCATTATAGACGATTCAAATAGACTCGGACATGCATTAGAATAAAAGGCCTGTGTGACTGTTATGATATTGTATACAGTAAACAGTGTGGTAAAATATCAGCAGTCACAATATGAATACAGGGGAAAATGAAATAAATCATTCAGACGTCAAACCGACAGAAAATAAAAAACAAAATGGGACCAAGACAGATATTAATGTGGTAGTATTTTAGTTACAAGTGGGGGAATTTTAAACCAAAATAGGGGGAAATAATGCCAAAAGCGGAGAGGGGAATTGACCCATATTCTGTCGTAAGAAAAGGTCGGTATATATCCATGTTATCATACTGTTAATCAGTAACATATTAATGTTTATATGCCATATTTTGTTCTTACACATTTATAACTGGTTATATTGTAATGAAATGATTTAATTATAATGATGCTTGAGACTTTCAATAGACCCCTGAGGGTATGTTTTTTACTTCCCAAAATGAGTTTTGACTCTTGGGTTTTAAAGGACTATCTAACATGTGTTTTGACTCTCACAAATTCATGGAAAATTCAATTTGACTTCTGAAATTGCTAACAGTCGAGGCTCAAATGAAAACCCTGTTAAAGGCTGACTTTAATAAACCATCATTTTTCAGAGTTGCACGAAGACGTCCTGAAAATTAGAGTGTTGTCGTTAAAACCCAATATTTTATCTCATTTACCCGTGAAGACACATTTGAACTCTTCCAATTCAAAGGCTGGAATAATTCATTATGAAATTTCAGGGATGATTTAGTTAAATAAGTCCCGAAATAAAAGTTTAAAAAAAATCTCATACTTTTAAGAAATTATTGCCGAAAATACCAAAAATTATGGAGGGAAATAAATCTGCAATACAAAAACTGTGCCAAAGAAAATTTATTTTAGTTGTTATTAAGTGGATAAATATAGGAAATAGGAAATATTGCAGGAGAGAATATTTCTCAAAATTAGCCTCATAATACAACAAACAAAAAATTTGAATGCTTGGAAATTTGAAGGGGAAAATATGTAGGGGTCAAACTCGGGACCATTACATTGGAAAGTCTACACTCTACTTTACTTATGTAGCCACCCACCCAGGAATTACACATTTAAATGCACAACATCGCAACTATTTAGCCCATAAAAAACTTGACAGGGGAAGTTACTCTAAGCCAGAAAAGCTCCTTTTTTGTTGCTTAATCTTTTATATAGAGGGGAGAACACTCCAAGTAAAAAAACTATTTGCAATTATAACTGATGCAGTGGCACCCTTTACCTTAAGGATGTATGCTACCTTCCTTTGACATGCAACTTTTTTTCAAAAGAGTTCCATTCTAAGAAATCTTATAATCTTTCTTTGAACATAATTTGGATTAGGTGAATTAATGACAACATAATGGTACATCGGGGGTCTGTTCGTTTTTGCGTAACAACCAGTTTGTCTGTTTATAAATGTAACAATTTCGGGTATAAATCCTGGCGAACCTGCAAATGTTTATGCAGGCCTTGCAAGGCTTTGTCAAGGCTCGCCTGAAAGCAGCATCAGATTACTAGGTTCGACCGTATTTAATAAACGAACAACTGGTCCGACCGGTTTAGCCGTTTAAATCTAAAACGGCCTAAGTTGCATGTATACTTATTAATCAGGTAACATCATACTAGTACATGTAGTAATTAAAAATTAAAAAACGTCTTAAAAGTGGTAAATCTAGCCTACTTTACACGTACAATTTGGAAGGTATTCAAATGTTAGGTATCCTTGGGTGAACATTTACCCCACCTTTCGCTTTATGTGCACAATATTCCTAGAAATGTTGCTAAAGAACTGTGGTAATATGTAGATGAATGCAACCCAGATGAATATGGTTATATTGTAATGGATTAGATAATTGCTTTAGTTTGAAAGTAGATGTTCATATTACTATTTACGTGTATTTATATATAAAAAAAAACTTCAAATGATAAAAATAAAATAATATTGCTAGAAATCTTGTTTTGTGTTGTGCAGACCTGTTTGTTAATTTCGAGTGATATTTTTAGGTAAAGTCAGTTATATCTTTTAAAATCCTTCTTCTAATCTTCAGTTTTATTGGAGGAATTATGCTGTACCATGGCGTCCGTCCAACAACTTTTCCTTTAAAACAATACTAGTCCGGAACAGCTTTCTGGATTTTGACTAAATTTGGCAAGGAGCATCCTTGAGCAAAGGGGACTTAATTTTATATTAACATGGAGTGTGGCCGCTCTGGGTGCAGCCCAATAGGGAAATTTAAGGTTTTAATCTTTAAAATCCTTCTTCTTCTGTACCATTGGAGGGATTTTATCCAAATTTGGCCTGGATCATCCTTAGGCAAAAGGGGCTATTTTTTTTTTATAAATGTAGGTTGTGGCCCCTCTGGGTACAGAGGGGCAGGACCCAATAGGGGAATTTGAGGTTTAAATCTTTAAAATCCTTCTTCTGTACCATTGAAGAATTTTATCTAAATTTGGCAAGGAGCATCCTTGTAAAAAGAGGACTAACTTTTGTGTAAACAGAGGATGTGGTAAATCTTCAAAAATCCTTCTCCTTCTGTACCATTGGATGGGATTTTAACCAGATTTGGTCCAGAGCATTCTTTGGCAAAGGGAAGTCAATTTTGTTAACAGAATGTGTGGCTGGAGGGGGGCAGCCGAATAGGGTTAATTGAGGTTAATATCTAAAATACTTCTCCTTCAGTCTGATTCGAGTATTTGTACCAAATTTGGTCCAGAGCATCAGTTGGCAAGGGGGACTCCATTTGTTTTAACAGAGAGTGTGGTCCCCCTGAGATCAAAGAGAAAGGGTCCAGTAGGGGGAACATAGTAATAATTGTTTAAAATCCTTTTCCTTCAGTTTCTTTGGAGAGATTTTAACCAAATTTTGTGTAGAGCATCCTTGGACAAAGGGGACCCAATTTTGTATAAATAGAGGGTTGCTTTTAGGGGACAGAGGGGGAAACTGAGGTTATTGTTTAAAATCCACCCCAAAAAGAAAGAAGGGACCTAATGAGAGACGGGTGTTGCTGAGAGACAGAGCCGATATTTTTTGAAATTGTTATATGTAATAAGAATAATTTTTCCATGGTTGCTTTATTATCCAGGTGAGCGATACAGGCCCTCTGGGCCTCTTGTTTAATGATCCTTGTTGTATGGAGTTTGTTAAAATTACAATCAACTTCGTATAAAGTTAATTTGCCAGTTGAACCACATTGGCTGTATATAAGATAGGAGAAAATGTGAAGAATTTTACAAAAATCAATCAACGCTTTTCTTTTCAGTTTTTTCAAACTTTTAATATTTCTTACAAAAAAATACAATAATTTAACTGACCTGCACATTTCCTTTTTTGTATCTGCCACAGAAAAACACGGAAAGAATCAAATATAATCTTTTAAATTTCATAAAAGAAACTTAAAAATTACCCAGTCATATTTTATGTTGTTAATGCTCAATCAGTACTGGGCATTTGTTTTAGCTTTTAACCAAGTTTGACTTTCAAAAGTACATGCACCGTCCAAAGTTGATGACAAAACTTCCTGACCCTTGTTTCTTTAGAGTTTATCACTGATGAATGACCTAGAAAAACACAGTTCCTTGATGCCATAATGGATGTCAGCAGTAGAGTTTGATGAGCTCGTCTGAGATGGCGGAGGGCGTCAGGACTCCGAGGTCTGTGAAGAGAAGTGTGATATAGGACGGAGGAGTGTAATCCACCAGGGGGTGCTCCTTAGACAGATCCGTCGTCGTCCGCAGTGTGCTCGCATGATACTGGAAAATGCAAAAGCAGGAGTTAATATTGCTGGAAAGGAAGACAAGTTGATAACATACTCCTTTCATTGGTCAGAGTCTGGATCATGTTATCTGTCCCCAGTTTGGAAAGATATGCAATGTTAGGTTAAATATAGATGGTATGTTCAATGCTTGCCAACATTTTGAAATGTACATTGGTTAGATTATGCTAATGCGTGCTAGGAATCAAAAGCATAAACAAAATGTGTGTATGTACACTCTAGGGAAAAATTAACTCTTTTAAATGGCATCTTTTGAGTTGTTTTTTCAGATGAAATCATCAGGGCCCGTATTCATGAAGCCGTTCTCATGCTCAAGTATGGATTTTGTGCTCAAGCCTAATTTCTTGTTCCGTTTATGAATTAATAATGAAATCTTTTTTTGTCAATGACTTGGGGGGGGGAAATGAAGAGTCTTAAAGCCAAATACTATTTCAAGTGTTAACATTTGACTTTTTGATCGTTTGACATGATTTAAGTGAGGTACAAGAAAGTTGGTTTGAGCACAGAATCTATGCTTGAGCATGAGAACGGTTTCATGAATACAGGCCAAGATCTTAGAAAATATTAATAGTTTTAGCAAATTCACTGGTTGAAAATGTTCAATTTTAGTGTCCAAAATAAGGAGAGTTGGCAAGTATGATGTTTCGTTCCTAGAATAAAGCAAGCTTAAATTTATGACATCTCTTGTTGTACTCCCACATCAAAGTAAGTCGTGGGGTGGCCATATTTTGCCTTGTGATTGCGTGCATCTGTAATGTTAGCTTCTAAAGCATCTCTCACCCACTTTCATGTATAGACATTATATTTGCTATTTTACTCATTCACCCCTGAAGACACATTTGAACTCTTCCAATTAAAAGGTTGAAATAGGTCATTACGAAATGTCAGGGGTCAATGAGTTAAGCATACAATGAGAAAGTGATATGTCGTGTACCGAAAGTAGGAACACTACAACCTTTATTTTACAATTGACCTTGATCCAAGATACTGAAATGCAGGTTTACTGAACATGTCTCAGATATTGATTGCAGGTAAATTTTTATCACATAATGTACTGTGTTATTGAGTGAATATTAACCCATGTAATATGACCTATCAGCCCTGTGATTGGTTGTAAGTTTCAATTGTTTCAATTGTGACATCACGTCTAGGACAAGTACATGACGTCACAGACTTATGCACTGAAGTCAAAATGGTGGCTTTATACATTTAAAGGTTGCATAAAAAATATCGTTTTAAAAGAATAAAAGCCACAAATCTTGATTATGTGATAAAAAGGATCTTACACTCGATTTCATTTCATAAGAAATTTATGAAACCCGTAACGTAATTTCATTTTAGCTTGCCAGAGGCTCGCTTAATTGAAAAAATCTTAGACTCGTTTCATAAATCTCATATGAAATGGAAACTTGTGTAAGATCCTATATATAAAAAAATTCAGGCAATAAATAAAGCAAAAACTCATAACATCCGCAAAATATAAGCACTATACATTACAGTCAGTTCTCAGTGTTTAACACATCCAGAATGTAACATGATTTAAGTCACAATAACCGTGGTGACCAGCTCATATATGAGGCGTAGTAAACTTATCTGGATTTTTATGCCCCTGCCATAAAATGGGGGGGGGGGGGCATATAGTGTTGCCCATGTCCGTCCCGTCCTATCCCAACCATGAGCGGGGGCATTTATGTCTTACAGACATTTTCTAGTTTAAGTAGTTATGCTCGTTTTCCTGTACCGTATCTGACCGCAAATAAGCCCCCGCCCCTAGTGAAAGGGCTTATTAATTGCGAGTACCCCCCCCCCCCCGTTCACAAATGTCCACCATCTTGGATGTACCACTGTGTTGATCTATGACCACACTACATTTCATGTACTTATAGTTGTTCATGTTATTAATGTACATTTGTACCAGACCTACCTTAAACTGGTTAGGTACATCTTCCTGGTTGAGTGGAAATAGACGAGTAAATTTGAAGCTTTCGGCTACAACGTAGACTGGCTTATTCATTGCTTTAGCTGAAATCGCCAATGTATATGTACCGATCTGAAAATAGAACAATTGATCAAGGAATAAGCTAGCAAAGTCAATTTGACAAGCATGTCTACTTACAAAATAATATAACATTGGAAAAACATTCATTACCATAATCATCATTGTGTTTGGATTTCTTGTGAATCACATTCAACTTTATAATGTATGCAGTACATGCGTTGCAAACACTTTGGTCCTTGGTCATCAAACAAACTGATCTAGTTATTAAAGTCAAAGGCACTTTTATTGTATCAGGTTCAGCTGGCAAAACTTCAAATTAAACCACAGGCACATATCAGAACCATGGCTGACCTCTGGAATATTTGAACAAGCATATAAGCCATAATTGTAATTGAAAATAGAGGGGGGAAAAAAGGAAAAATATTCCAAAATGAAGGGAAGAACTCATATTTTCAATGAATACTTGTATTGGTCAAGTAAAACCACATTTTATTTTCAAATATTTTGGACATATTTGTGTCAGAATTATCTCCCTTAACCAAGTCAAGGTCTTTGCCTATCTGATTCAATTTTCTACTGGCAAAATCTGAAGGAAAATGATAGGCTCAGATTTGGACCTAAGCTAACCACCGGAATTTGGCAGTTCCATATCAGCAGGTTCAGGCGATCTTTCAAATGTGACATTTCTTAGTTGTTGAGCTCTTTTGGAAACGAGGTATGTATCTCATTAAGGTAGCATACATCCTTAAGTGTAGACTTTTTTAAGATCCAAATGCCGCAGGACCAGCAAAATCACTTCATAATATAGTTTGTACATACACTATGAAAATGGTAATTGAGATTCAGCTGAGGATAATAGTGCTTATTAAATAAACCAATTGGTTATAGATTTGTCCCAACACTGCTTTCCTGAATCTCAAAATAATACAGTAAAATTAATACAAGCATGGCAAAATATCCTCAATGATGTAGCCAGTGGTCTATGATGTAACTAGTGGTCTATGATGTAACCAGTGGTCTATGATGTAACCAGTGGTCTATGATGTAACCAGTGGTCTATGATGTAACTAGTAGTCTATGATGTAACTAGCAGTCNAACCAGTGGTTGCTGATGTAATCAGTAGTCTATGATGTAACTAGTGGTCTATGATGTTACTAGTGGTCTATGATGTAACCAGCGTTCTATGATGTAAACTGTGGTCTATTATGTAACTAGTGGTTTATGATATAACTAGCGGTCTATGATGTAACTAGTGGTCTATGATATAACTAGTGGTTTATGATGTAACCAGCGGTCTATGATGTAAACTGTGGTCTATGATGTAACTAGTGGTCTATGCTATAACTAGTGGTCTATGATGTAACCAGTGGTATATGATGTAACTAGTGGTCTATGATGTAACCAGTGGTCTGTGATGTAACTAGTAGTCTATGATGTAACCAGTGGTCTATGATGTAACTAGTGGTTTATGAGGTAACCAGTGGTCTATGATGTAACCAGTGGTCTATAACGTAACTAGTGGTCTATGATGTAACCAGTGGTTTATGATGTAACTAGTAGTCTATGATGTAACCAGTCGTCTATGATGTAACCAGTGGTCTGTGATGTAACTAGTGGTCTATGATGTAACTAGTTGTTTATGATGTAACCAGTGGTCTATGATGTAACTAGTGGTCTATGATGTAACCAGTGGTCTATGATGTAACTAGTGGTTTATGAGGTAACCAGTGGTCTATGATGTAACCAGTGGTCTGTGATGTAACTAGTAGTCTATGATGTAACCAGTGGTCTATGATGTAACTAGTGGTTTATGATGTAACCAGTGGTCTATGATGTAACCAGTAGGCTATGATGAAACCAGCGGTCTATGATGTAACTAGAGGTCTATGATGTAACCAGTGGTCTATGATGTAACTAGTGGTCTATGATGCCCTTTTTACCTTATTAATGATACCTCCGCTCTCCACTACTCCCTCTGCTCCAACCAACACCATGTCTACCTTCTCCATCACATACCTGTCAATCAAAACAAATATTTCTTTTCCGTCACACACCTGTCAATCAATACAAATGTATCACTTGATACAAATGTGACTATGTTTAGTAGGATTTTATCTTTCATGACTTAACCTTAAATATCACAACACATTTAAATTCCTTCATTTAATAGCTCATTCAGCTTGAAATAATATGTACTTCATGAATTAATTTTTTTCACATAAAAAAAATGTTTTAAATCAAAGCTGTATACGGTGACCTAAGCATCTGAAACCATGTAAACTAGGTAAATTGTACAAACAAGATGATATCACAAAGATGCAAATCTCCTGATGCATATATGAAAATATATTGAATATCTTGGAGGCACGGTAGTCTCGTGGTAGGACACCGGGCTCGTGATGAAGGCATGCTGGTTCGAGTCACATCACAACACTGTGTTGTATCTTTGAACAAGATAATTTACTCTGCTTGTTTCAGTCAACTCAGCTGTAATTGAGTACGTGGTTGGGCAGTGCTAGAATTGTTGAATGCTAGCTGTAAGCGCCGAAATGGCAGCACCGGCTGTATGCACCCCAGGGAGATGAGAAAGATATTGGCTAGTTGCAAAGGCCCTATAACCATGGATAATAATTTGAAACTGTGCATTTTTAGCTCTACTTATAGAACGGTCCAAGTGCGTTCATTTATCGTGGAATATTTCTGCACCACACGTACCATTTCAACTGGGATACGCGAATGTAGCCTATATGAATGGTCGTACCATTGGGATGAACAAAATATTTAAAGCAAGCGACCTTGACCTTTAGTACTGAGTGAAGGTACTGTCATACTAGCATTTTGGAGAAGTTCTATAGCTATCCATTAAAATAAAAAGGTTGCTTTGTAAGTTACCTTGCTCTTGACCTCAGTACGTCAACCACAAACTCCTTCAACTTTCAAGACACAAAGAAGAAAATGATATGTACAAACACACAGGCAGAACTTCGTCCTCCCTCAGAAACTTTGTAGCAAGTGGATAATAAACAGCAAAGAGTTGTGATTTAATGACCGTCCTTTACATTGAAGATCATAAAAAGCTGTTTTTCATATTTAAACAAGCTACTTATCTTGAGTAGGAAATCTGTTATATAATCCACTACCATGATATGCAACAAGATTTGTGATCAGTAGTGAATGAACAGACTAGGAATGATACATGGTAATCAAAGAAAAAGCACTGGCCTTCATTTTAACCCTTTCACCCTTATGTAACTTTAATAGACTCTACCATGCATGGATATGGAGAGGTTCATTATGGTCTACAGTGGTGAAAAGGTTAACCACCATTTTGATATGCATAGATATGGATGTACAACCCCATTTCAGGTGTACTTGTGCTATTGGAAATGTGAATGCCTCTCCATTTAAACTGTTTCCTGGATCCAGCCTGCACTTACCCAACAGCAGCATCTAGCACCACTGTAGTAGGGATGCCCATGTCTATCAGCTCCTTGGACACCTCACGACTGTCAAAGAAACAAAAATACATGTAACAGTACCTTAAGCCTCCATATGCTGCATTTTTATACACCTGTCAAATTTGATGGGAGTATTACGGTATGGCGTCGTCCGTCTGTTCGGCCGGCGTAAACTTTTGTTTGTCCGGCAATCTCCTCCTACATTTTTCATCGGATCTCTTTGAAACTTGGTATACATTATAATCATGATATGAAGTTGTTCATTTCAGTATTTGATATTTTGTCCGGAGATTTTCTCCTACATTTTTTATAGCATGTCAGCTAACCACTCTTAGAATGATGCAGATCTTATTTCAATGTAAGAAAGTATATAACACTATATGGCATTTGACTGGCGTATTTTGTTCCGCCCCGCGGTACTCTTGTTACAGAAATAACAAACAAAAGAACAACAAGAAAAACAAAATGAATACATTTCAACAAGACAGAGAATTGAAAGCAATCCATAGTCGCCCACCTTTCTTGCAAACTTTGGTATGAAAAATGAGCAAAGGACCAACCGTCAGTGTCCATGACTAACAAGCAGACGGAAGCAACAGGAAACAACTCACATCCCCCACCATGACACACTGTCTAATTACAATACACATAGATGGTGTAGCTTGATAAAATGACTTCAAAAGTTACAGTCTGAGGTAATAACATTACAGTAGTTAGACTTGGATCAATGTAGACCAGAATTGGGACATTCTGTCTAGCAAGTTTAATTTAATTTTGTTCAGTAGTTCAAAAAATAATGCCTGCACAGGATCATTGAACAGAGAGAGTGCAATTCTATAATCTCCGTCTCTGCTGGATTCTGACATCAGTAGAAGACCGATAGTATCGTCTTATAAATTTTCAAATCCATATAATTGATTTGAAAATTGAAAGATAGACAAATTACAGTTTTGGTTTCTCACAGATATAAATGTTCTCATCCTCCCAAACAAAATATGACCTTTGAGGAAATCTATTGTTGTCAGGATAAACAAACTCTCGTCACATCCTGTGAACAAGGACCATACAATTAATGAAGTCAGGTTCATTGTATGTCACAGGCTAAATCAGAACTGAGATATGATTGTAAGGTAATAAACACAATAACACCCCACTTACCATACGACTCAGCAACCATTTTAGCCCTTTCACCCCTATGTAACTTTAGTAAACTCAACCATTTATTGATCTGGATGAGTCCATTATGGTCTACAGTGGTGAAAGGGTTAAGGATGCATGCTACCTTGCTCTGGCAATGCATCTATTTCTTGAAAGAGTTACACACCAAGAAAAATATCCTTTTGAAAACGATAATATGAATATGGTTGCATAAACACAGTTGACAGTTACAAAAAAAATACATGAAGTTGTAATACTCATTAAAGTCATTCTTAATAATTCTAAATAAAGTGTGTTCAAGGAGGATAACTCATACACAAATTATAAAAATATACCAAGTAAGGTAACATATAACATTAATAAATCTTTGAATGAGAATTTTTCCTACCCCGAGTTGTCTGGCAGAGATTCCGTGATGAACACACTGAAGCGTTTCTTTGCCTCGGCTGCCTCCTTCAACACTTGTAATACTACTCTGGATTTAGAGTGGGTTAGGATCGTCTACAAAACAGGGGTAAGATGGAAGTCATTTATCTACAGTTATCAGTAATACGTGATGCTATAATCCTCCAGATTGTGAGTGAAGTCTCATAAGCCTAACATTATATAAACAAAACATGCTATCTGTTTTATTTCATTTCAATTTATTTTTTCTAATTTATTACTATCTGCAATGTAACCACCTATTAATTAAAGGAAAACAATTTTAAAATATTTATAATTATATGTACTCAAAATATTTCAAAACATTTAGATTTTTTAATCAATTTTCAGTATGAGTACAGCAACACCATGAAACTTATTTTCACATGTAAAAATATTGCCACATTCGTAAGGAACAAGTGTTTTTTAATACTTATAGATAAAATTGAAATATTTAATTCAAAAGTACTGATTAAAAACCCAAAACTTCTATCACCTAACTTTCTTGGTATAGAAATATGTGAAAAGTTTCTTTCTAATCAGTAGCAACTTACTGCACCATCTCGTATGAAAGGATGGGCCTGTTTTGCGATCTTTTGGCGAGAATCTGAAACTTTCTGCAAGAATAAGTTTCCTCTTTTGACTAGAATTCTCTGGCATTCCTGAATTGTCTGGAAAAAAACACAATTTATTGAATTCAAAACACGAATTTGAAATCAGAAGTCACAAGCAATATTAAAAGAAGAATTTTGAAATAAGTGGAGTCAAAGCCCCCAAAAAAGGCAAGAACTCGTACTTCTGTTTTGCACGACTAGCCGATTACTTTGCATTATTTCATAATTTTAATTAAGACCATAGGCTTTGAGCTTTTCAAATATTAAAATTTATTTTTGATCTATAAATTAACAGGTTGTTTCCTCACCACCTATTTCCTTAAGTTTACTCAATTAATCATGATACTTGAGAGAGTCTTACTGAATGTTCAAGCATGGCGAGTGTGATGAAGCGTAGGAAGAGCTCTCCAGCGGAGGAGATAGATGTTGTACTACTGTCCGTCTCTGTAAGTGTCAGTATAGCATCCTTCATACGGTCTCGCATCTCTGACAACGTGTCCACTACAAATACAAGGGGGTCCTGTTGTAACTCTTTTACCTTTAATTCTATAAATAGGTCAAGGTCAAGAATTCTTATGTCTGGATACACATCATTTGTGTTTTTGGTCAAATGACTGTTTCTGTAATTTTGAATACTTCCCCCGGTAATATTATGTAAACATTTGTTTGTGTTTTCAATTATGGCTGCCATGGTAACCAGTTAATATTTACATAAATTGATGAAATTTGAATATTCAGTCAATTTTGACAGGTTTTCACCTAGTTTTTCTCTAAGCTTCCATAGAGCGCACTCTTGAACAAACTTCATATTTCTCCTAAAGATGTATTATAGGTGCCTACACATTATCCTTTGATATCAAGTTTGTTCAAGCATGCACTCTATAGTTTCTATGAGAAAAACTATGCAAATTTTGCTAATACAATGTATATGCAAATTTGAACTTGTTACCATGGCAACAATAATTAGGAGAATTCTACGTTTTCTTATAGCACTATGCTCTGGCCCCACACCAGACATCTATATGTCAAAATGTGTAAGTCTGGTGTCAGGGCCAGAGGAAACGCGGGCTAGTCTTGATCAAACAATTAAGATTTTTATTGATCTCCTGATGTTAAAGTCCTCTAACTGACCTTTGTTGACCTCAAGGAAGTGTAAGAGTGTCTTGATAGCAGCCACAGCAGCAGACATGTCAGGGTCTGCATGAACTAGATTACTGAAGTAGGACAGGATACCTGGGAAAAAAGAAGGTAATTAGTTGATTCTTGATGACTAAGCAACATCAGAGATCAAAGAGTCAATATGAATAAACTGACTGGAGACATTACATATTTTGATGATCTAAAATAGAGACTTTTTTTTTTTCATCAATGTAACAAGAGATGGAAAAATGAACGGCCAGACCGGGGTTGGAACCTGGAGCCCTCCAAACTCTAAGCAGATCCTCTACCAATTGGGATACCTCAGATCCCACACAACTGACCCAGTCCAGTTCCGCTACATTCCTCCCTCTTTTTTCTAAGTCTTCACCCCCGAAGACACAACCATTTACAAGCGGTGGTCAGGTGGTGCAGTGGATTATGCGCACTTGCCTTTCACCAGGGCGGCCGGGGTTTGATTCCCCAATCGGACATGAAAAGGTAGTGGGTTACCTGCCTGACCACATGGGTTTTCTCCGGGTACTCCAGTTCCCTCCCACAGTAAGACCGGCCCTAGCGCGCTAACCTCTGGGCCAACAACAGTGATTAAGCTTACAGCTTACATGCAGGCATATACACACATAGGGAGATATTAGCCAGGTGGCATAGGACTAGTAGTTAGTGCCAGATAAGGCAGCTCCTGTGAAATCCTCAAAATTGTATTGATTAATGTATATGCTAATTGTATTAATTGTATATCTTTGTACTGTAAAGCGCTTTAGAGTGGCTTATGTTAGCTAGATAGGGCGCTATATCAAATGCTGTATATTATTAATATTAATACAAGTTGAAATAACTTGCTTCATAATTGTTGTAAAATAAATAAAGTTTATATTATATTTACAACCCAGGTATGCCCTTCCCATGCATACACCCAATGCTTGAAATAAGGGTTGGTCACAGGCACCCCTGTAGGAGATGGAAAAAGCATCGGACCGGGGTTCAATTCTGGTTCAAAACATAAATGCTCAAGACAAATAAAAAACGATCCTGTCATCTCGGGATCTTAAAAGAGATTGAAGAAAATTTTAAGGGACGCTAACTCAAAACCACCTGATAAGACTGACCAATGGGAGCCATATGCAGATGAGAGAGGTGACCCCCACGGACTGGTCAAGCTCGGGCCAGTGAACAGAAATTCCCGAGTCTGTGAACAGATTTCACTCTAGTGTTACACCACCCTATAATTTGTCAACACAACACAAATTATAACATATATATACAGAGTTGTAATTAACCATTTTGGAACAAAATATACAAATGGAAAACCGTTTTAGAAAGCAGTTGGGCGCATTATAGGTAGCTGTCATAAAGCTAACTACTAGCTGTGAAGCTACATACATAGTTCATTCAATTAACTGAAACAATGCGTAACTAATTGTAGTAGGACGAGGAATAGTGATAAAGATGGGGCTCGAACCTGCGACCCTTTGCTCTCCAGCCCAATGCTCTACCGCTGAGCTAAAGGGAAATTCCCTACAGCTGATGCTTGAAAGGCAACCTAATTAATCCACATCTTTTACATAATGGTTGCGTTTGTAAAATGACCATACATATATATATATATGGACGCATATTACTAATCTCTGCCATCCCTTAGTTTGAAAATGGGCCTTCCTAAACAACTCAAGGAAACAACATGATGCTGCAAGCGTAAACCTCGGAAACCATTTGAAATAAAATTGTTACTCTGATATGAAAAAATACACTTCTGAGTTCTGATGCAATATCACCAGACCGTTTTGGGTTTTTTTTCAAACAAATGGTCACAAACAAATACTTTTGAAATTCAACATTTTCATGAGAAAAACCTATAGTATGTAGGCATCGGAATTATCGTGTTGTTATATTTGATTTTGAATTACCATCTCTGTCCATGTTGATAACACTATGGCAAATGTTCCAAAACAGGTGCTCGTCGGCTATCAACTTTACCGGAAGTTCTCTCCGATAAATACCGGTGTACTAAGCAAAGCCCGATACATTTTTTACGACACGGAGTACTAATATCTCCAAAGACACATAATATGAACCTAAAGCTATAATAAAAAATAATTACTTGGGCCTGTTCGTTTATGAAGAACAAACAGTTTGTCTATTTTTAAATGTAACATTTTAGGTATTGTACTAACGGACCTGCAAATGTGTATGCAGGCCTTGTAAGGCTTTGTCAAGCAGAATAAGATTGCTAGGTCCGATTTTATTTCAGAAACGAACAACTCTCAGGCCGCTCTCGTTTAAACGGTCAAACCGGTCGGACCACAGTTGTTCGTTTATTAAATAAGGTCGGACCTATTTATCTGATGCTGCTTCCAGGCGAGCCTTGATAAAGACTTGCAAGGCTAGGGCCTGCTCGTTTATGCGGAACAACCGGTTTGACCGTTTATAAATGTAACAATTTCGGGTGTAAATCCTGGCGGACCTGCAAATGTGTATGCAGGCCTTGCGAGGCTTTCTCAAGACTCGCCTGAAAGCAGGATCAGATTACTAGGTCCGACCTTATTTAATAAACGAACAACAGTGGTCCGACCGGTTTGACCGTTTACACGAAAACGGCCCTGCATAAATATGTGCAGGTCCGCCAGGATTTATACCTAAAATTGTTACATTTATAAACGGTCAAACCGGTTGTTCCGCATAAACGAACAGGCCCCTGGTCCGACCGGCCAGCCGTTTGTACCGCGGCGATAAACGAAAACGACCAAAGTAGATTTAATCACGACAAAAGAGAATTACAATGCTATTTACATTAATTACATCAGATTTAGTTTTACACGACCTTTCAAAGATTTTACCTTTCTAGTATTAAGAACTGAGTAGTGTCTGATCAACTTAAACGCCGGTGGTTCAGTGATGTCAAAAAGTTACCCAGTGGCTTTTTTAAAACATTTATCTTTCTTCATTTGGAATATTTTTTATATGAAGTGGTTTTTAATGAAGTTTATGATGTCTAGCTATGAAGGTCGGTATGGAAAATTGACACTAAATAAACTGGGCTAGGGAAAACGTCATGATTACAACAATTATATGACGTCATTTTCATAGTAAAATGATTGACGTATACAGTATTTTTATGGGAATGGAGTAATAGAATCTTCCCCTACCTTGAGGGTGTGATCGAGAAATCTCCAACCCGATCGAGGGGTGATGTTTTTTTTGGTTGTCTAACTCGAGGCTCTGCCGAGGGTTAGACAACCAAAAAAATCACTCCTCGGAACAGGCCGGGCCCTGTGACAGAGATTTCTCCGTCACATCCTTAAGGTATGTGATGATTGTGTTTCTCCCGTCCTATTATTTCAGTCACAACTCAAACGACAGTAGTGTAAACAAAAACACATTTGGGGTATGCATTTCGTCATTCACTTTTGTTGACGTCACAATTACCGGTGACGCATTTAATGACGTCACAATCGAACACGTGCTAATCGGCACGAGGCTATATCCCCCTCGGGGTTGACAAGCTGATCTTTCCAGCTAAAACGGGAGACACACCTGTGAAGGGTGGGAGAATAATAGAATCTTTCACCCCCTTGGGGTGAGACAGGATAATCTCAACCCGAGGGGTAAGATTCTAAAGTTGTCAAACACGAGGCTTGCCGAGTGTTTGACAGCTGAAGAATCTTACCCCGATGCAAGACAATGTTGATGTGATGCGGCTGAATTGTCGACGTGACGTCATTGTAGTGTTGCTATGACGTCATGGTATTGTTGCTATGACGTCATACAATTGTTGAGAACGTGCAAAGAACACGTGTAGCTTGTCACAACCCTAGGGTGAGATTAATAGAATCATTACCCGCTTTGGAGTAAGAGCTGGAAAAAACTCGCCTCATTTTGAAAGTAGGAAGAGGTCCTGCATTTTTTAAATGTAAAATTTACATCTCCAAAGTGATGTCTGTGTATACTCTTTCCAATAAAACCCCATGTGCAATAAAGAAAGAAGTACTAAGTGCAATTCTAGACATTTTTAGAGAGCAATTATAAGCTTTATTATGTAATAAAAATGTTTAGGTCGTTCGCCTATTAGATATTTTAAGCATTCACAAACAAAACGAAAACATTTCATTTTTAAAGTTAAATCGTAGCGTAGTGAGGTGATTTCCCGACTATTCTGCATTAAAAAATGGAATTTCCAGACAAAATGTTGATGCCTAAAAACGTTTGGACTCTGCCTCAAGCACCAGACACGGAAAAAAGAGTTAATTTATTCATAGATGTATGGCTTTATACGTCTGTTTATTTTAGATTTTTTTGAGCGTATATCTTTGAAATGTGAATTTCTTTTTTTTTTATTGGTCCTAAAAGGGGTTGGGTAAACGCTGCACAAACATTCCTACTCAAAGTGTTTCACTGACCATTTCTGAGTCACTTAGCCCAAAAATAACTACTTATTTTGTTGAAATAAAATTCTTATATTCATTTTCCCAAACAAAGTGTTACAGCAAAAACTGTTAAATGATTTTAAATAAATTTCCGGAAAATATATATATATCGTTTATGGTTTTATCAACTCCGATCAGAAAGGAAGTGACGTATTACACATTCACGCTTTAGAGAACCACATGGCGAATAACTTGTTCATGTTTATGTTGCAATAATATTTTGCTTATAGGACAATCGTCCAAAATGGGGAAGAAATCGAAGACAGGAAAGTCGAGAAAAGATAAATTCTACCATTTGGCTAAGGAAACAGGTATTGTTCTTTTGTTGTGCTATGCTACTGTATCGATTTGAAGCGTGATTCGGAGTGTGCTGGGAAGGATATTTTCGTAAACAGCCTTTTAAAAATCTTATTATTACCTGGACTGATAACAGTTATTCTTCAGTCGTCTACACATAACAAGCAAATAAGAACTGTGTTTTTGTCATGTCAAAATATTTTGTGATTTGTCTTAAAATTAAATTATAGATCAATGTTTTAAAGTTGTGATAGCTTTATTTGGAGGCAGTGTATGCCAATATTACATAAAATGTCTAATATTTAATACAATTAAATGTTGTAATCTTACCCAAGGCATTTATTTCTATTAAAAGGTTACAGAGCGAGATCTGCCTTCAAGCTTATCCAGTTGAATAGGAAATATGAGTTTCTACAGAAGTCAAGAGTCGTTATTGACCTGTGTGCAGCCCCTGGAGGTTGGCTACAGGTGGTGGCAGAAAACACACCTATCTCCAGTCTCATCGTTGGTATGTATATCTAGATATATCACTTCCGTCTAATTGCAACAGGGGACGAGAAATGCACGACTGGACAGGAATTTGAATCCGAGACCTCCAAACTATATACGGATGCTTTAACCTGAGTTGAGCTACCTGGTTGTTGGCAATTCACCCAGTCCAGTCCGCTACATTCCTCCCTCCTTTTTCTAAGTC